AAATTATCATGTTGTATTCAGCAGCAAAAAGTACTAGTTGTCATCCGCTGCCATTAGTACTATCATGTAAGCCATGCTTTCCAAATGTTGGTCTAAATTCATCCTTTTTACCCAATTTAGCATTCATATCTCCCACAACAATTTTAATGCCATGCTTGGGACAAGACCCATATAACATAGAAAGTTCCTCATAAAAAATTTCCTTTTCCTCCCCTTCCTTGTCTCTGTTGATGCAAGTCTATTGATAATACCATAATTAAAAAAACTTTCCCCTTAGCCGAATTTTGCAAAGTTGGGGTGATTTAGGAACAAAATCAATCACAGTTTTAAACTTTTGTTCAATAATAAACCAGTAAACAAAACATGTTTTTTCTCATCACAGCTATAGTAAACCATGTGGTTTCTTTTCTCAATGATACCTTCCCCCAGCCGTCGCATTTCCTGAATGGCAAGTAGATCCATATTATGTTTGTCAAATTCTTCTATAAGAAATTGTAGTCCCCTCCTGTAGTACATCGTTCGGACATTCCAGGTTCCAAAGCAAAGAGTCCTTAGGCCATTTCCAAGTCATTTTCCAGTAGAAGCAATCTGGCTAATTCTCTCTTTGGATTTCTTAACGGTTAGATATTTTACAGGATGGGATAGTTGGCCCCATGCCCAACCCCCAACCTGGAGGACCAGTCTCCTGATATAATCCCCAAAGGCAGAGTGCCTGGCTTTATCCCTGGACGCTGGGTACCCATTTTAGTTGCCTTTTATGACATGCATGAGCTACATTGGGAGTATTCTTTCACACCTGGTCACCACATGGGTGACACAGATAATAAAATGATTAAAAAATCAAGATCACAGTACCTGTTCACGGCTCACAATCACCCATTGAGCTTTCAAATTAGTAGTTGGTCTAACCGCCCCTGGCAGCAATGCATGCTTGAATTCGTTGAGACAAGCAGTGGTAGAGGTTCCTAATGTCATCCTGCAACACATTTTGCCAGTCATTCATCAGTTGTTGCTCCAGATTTGTGATATTTTGTGGTGCACGAATATGGCGTCCTACTATGTCCCAGACATGCTCGATTGGTGAAAGGTCTGGTGACCTTACTGGCCAAGGAAGAGTATCAATCGCATGGGAGACAGTCCAGAGATATGCGAGCGGTGTGTGGCCTGGCATTATCTTGTTGGAAAATGGCCCCAGGATGATGTGCCATGAAGGGTAATGCAACCGGCCGCAGGATGGTATCAACATATCATTGAGCTGTTAAAGATGTACAGAGGACGACTACAGATGACCTGCTTTCATAAGAAATAGCACCCCACACCATCACTCCAGGGGGTTATGGTTGTATGCTTTTGTAAAACAAACGCTGACTGGGACCGTTGGCTTCGTCCTCTCCAGACACAAACACAGTGGTCATCTGCTTCAAGAGTGAAGTGGGATTCATCACTGAACACTATATTATGCCATTCTGATGGCAGCCATGATGATTGGCTGTGACACCACTCCAGACAACTCCGCCGATGTTGTGGGGTCAAAGGCAAACGTCTTAAAGGCCTCTGTGAGCATAACCCCACCTCAGACAAGCGCCATGAGATGGTGGACTGTACCACGAGAAGTATAGACATGGCTGTAGTGCATTGAATAGTTGATAATGATACCATTAGGGGGTACCTTGAAACTTTGAATCATTTGCATGTTCGATCAAGATGTTTTTGCATACCAAATTTCGTCACGATCGCCGAAGTCCTTTTTGGTGCTTCGATTTTTTTGAAAAAAAGTGTATTTAAAATACTGTAAGTCCATTATAATAAACAGTAATACAGTTTTATGCTTCAAAAATGCGCACAAAAAAGGGGTGTGTCTTATATGGTGGCAAATACAATATTTTTTTTTTCCTTTTGCTTGGATAGTGGCTGTGACCAATACATCATCTGGTACTCACTGCTCAACAATACATGTATAAATAATTATACATGGGCATGTAACTAATAAAATATTTGACTGATTTAAACTCATAATTCAAATCTTTAAAAAGAGTTCAAATAGAAAAAAAAAAAAAAAAAAGATAATGTATGCTTAACGTATAGTATGCAACCTATTCTACGTGAATACTTTCATTCTGATGAGTCTCACCTCTCTTTGTTTCCCTTTCATTTGTTTCTCGTAGTATTAGTTCTGGCTGTTTACTGTAGACATTCCAGTCTAATTATTTTGAGATCCAACGACAATCTGACATTTAATTTAATGACATTTTGGATGAGGTTTGCATCCTTTTAAAATAATTAAATAATTTATGCCAATTTTAAAAACGTCACTTTACAAATTTTTCTCAGTAAATCAAATGAAACTAGGACCTTGAATCAAACTTTTAATTAAATCTTTAATCTGTATCTAGCACTATGCATAAAAAATGCTCATAACTCTTAAATTAGTGAAATTGTCTCTAGATATACTAAAAATAAATCCATTTGCAGACTGCTTAGCTGACATTTTTCAGCTCACGAAAAGCTTGCCATTTAACTATGAGGTGACTGTAGTGAATATTTGCAATTAACAAAATGGGGTAAAACTTGTCTTATACCTGCAGGAAACCAGTGTTTGAAAATCAATAGGTAATATATGTCTATATATATCTAAAATGATTATCGGTCACTTTCAGAGAACATCCGTACAAGATGATTCACAGTGTGTTAAGAATAACAAGAAACAGTTCAGAATTTTTCAAATAAATAATAAAAAAAAATGCTTACAAAAGGTAACAAAAATTATCTAAATAGAAAAACTGAACCATTTATGGTTCCAAATGATTTAACCTTCTATGAAGCTGGTCTTCTTAGATGAGATTTAATACCAAAATTTCATAGCTATACTGGTCACTTTTAGAAGTGGTTGTTTTAGAAATATAGTTCACTGTACATTATAAGAGTTCAGGAATACCTATAAATTCTCCAATAAGATATAGCTAAAAAAAGGAATAATAATGAAGATTATAAATTTGAACAAAGAGTTGGAATTCGTCACTGAGGCTCAGATTTTGGACTCCCCCCCCCCAATATTTTTTTTTTTTTTTTTCTTGCCAGTCCCTTTTTTCGATCATACGGCCGGCTTGTGCCAGCTAGGAGGATCGGGGCTGTGCCCTTATAATAATAATAATAATATCTAAAGAAATTTAATAATATTTTAAATTAATTATAAAAATGCCTAAATATAAAGTTAAATGTAAAAACTCCTCTTAAAAGCGACCATCATGATACCATATCTGTTTAGTCTTCTGTGTATGTGATCATCTTAAATCAGTAAATACCTGCCTTTATTTATGTTCTCAGAAATATTGATAGTATTAGGAAAATAGTTATTAGGAGAACTCGTGGTAATGATATATTCTTTTTTAAAAAAATCTACTTTTAAATTTTCTAGGTATTACTTTAATTTGAATTTTCTGAATGAATGATGTAAAATCGAATTAAGTTTCCATTATATGTCTTGCTTAATGGCTACCAGTGGCCGAAGGGTAAAATTGCTGAACACTGACAGTTTAACCCAGCAAAAAAACTGGCTGCCTGAAATTTTTCCTAATATATAATATGGACACGAGGCAGCTCCTGAGAATATCCTTTACAAAGGCTTCTGCGCTTCAATATATGGCCCTAATGAACATTAAATCCAAATCTCTTACTGAAATACTATGGAGCTTCCTCCTGACATGTTTTGTCATAACTAACAAATTAACATCCAAACAATTAATGTTTAAATTAATTAATGTTTGATTAATGTTTGATATACAACAAATAATGTTTGATATACAACAAAAGAAAATCATTTTACTGAAACAAATATTCTTTTACCTTCCCCTTCTTACACAATAATAAGTAAAACACCAGAATTCAACTACAGTCAAAAGTCTTTAATCCGAACGTCCATAATCCGGACCTCAAAGCTACAAACTTTCTGTGCATACGTAAACGCATTATAATACCTTTACGCATTCGCATTTAATGTATAACGGATGGTATAAGCTAAGCTAAAATTATCTAATTATCTATTTCAGTTAATGTTGCAGATTGCATTGTTCTTTAATCTTCTAATTGGATCCTGCTTATTATTTTTTGCAGACTGTTAGAGCAATTTTAATAAAAGTAAGCTTGAACCTTCGATTATGTCAAAAAGAAGTTCCGATGCTGGAGCTGCCAAAGGATCTACAAAGCGAAAGCATGTTTCAATGCCCATCAAACAAAAAGTAGAATTGCTGCAAAAAATGGATAAAGGCATGAAGAAAGTGACAGAGAGGTGATTTGTTTCTCTAACCATTCCGAAATCTGTTTATCAATTTCACGCTGCTCTGGGGGGGGGGACGTCGCGGCGCGCAATGAACTGGAAGTTGATCTGTCAGCACTATCCTTATCTTCAGGGCAGATGTTTTTATTTTATTTGGCTTATAATTCCTTACTAAATGTAGTATTTCATCTCGATGTACTCAGTCTTTGATATGATTTAAATCAAATTCCTCGTCATTATAAATATCACGAATACACATCAAATAGTTTTCTGGTTGCAATTTTCTAAATTTTGACTATGCGTAATGTATGCTTTACGCATGCGCGCATTGAAAGAAATGTTTAAAAAGTAAACAAACAAATATTAAGCTTTATTTTTTTTGTAAATTTTGATACCCTTTAGATCATAGTTGTTCTTTATTTCATAAATTACAGTTTCATATTTTTAATTTTATAATTTCTGCATGCCATTTTACCAGATTTAAACTGATGATCTATAATCTGGAAAAACCGATAATCCGGAATCGCTGAAGTTCCCGACGAGTCTGGATTAAAGACTTTTGACTGTACACATTCTAAACAACAATGCGGCTAAAATAACAAAGAAGCATTACATGCTTTGTTCATCTGAAAACCTCAAATTTCATTTCATGAAAAATAAAGAATTAGTTTTAAATTTTTAAAGGTTTATAATATCAAAAGAGGAAAAAAAAGCTTATTAAACCTACATCTGTAGCATGATGATATCGAACTTTTTTCAGGTATACAGTATAAATAGCTCCATCAATTTCTTCTTCACCCCATAGTTTTAAAGACGGCTGCTAGAAAAAGGGAAGCAGAAACTCATAAATAAGTCAAATACAAAACTAAAGAACCCACAAAATGCAAATGAATTCATTTTTAAGAACATGTTAGATTCTTAAACATTAATAGATTGGATTGAAAGAAACATTTAATAGATTGGATTGAATAATGATAAAGAATAGTAGAACTAACTGCCTACAAGGAAAAAGGGGAAAATGTTTTCATGGAGGACTTTCTAAGGGGTACTGTCATATATTTATGCTACACAAAAGGAAATCATGAAAACTGCATAAAACCAGCCCATAAAAATTAACCCAGGATGAAGTACCACAATTATGCAGCTTTAGCCACTCTGCCACTGGTCAGGCAAAGAAATATTTGATATCCCTCTCTTTAATTAGCAAAAGCTCATACAAAAGTAACAAACATGCATTACAAATAATAAAAATACGAGGTATAAAATGCATATGATTTGAGTTAATACAACAATCAAAATGTACATAACCATATACTGATTATTAAAAATGGCCGAGTACAAATTAGGACTAATCAAAGTACAATTTATCCACATTTCCCATAAACTACCAAACCAATTTTCAAAACATACATACAACACTCTCCTGTAATAATGTCTCTTTATGTCACAGTCTCATATATGATACACATATAGCCTAAATTAACCATATGAAAAGAATGAAATCTTTTAACCCACCTAAGAACAAAATAGTTATTATTCCAGAGTTACAGCCAAGGCCAACTAGTGGCTGAGTGGTAAGATGCTAAAAAAATGGTTGTTTGATCCAGGTTCAAATCCTATTGAATAAGCTGGCTGTATGGAAGTTTTCATGGTTTTTCTCATATAAAATGTAAATCTGAGCTAACTTTTCTTAGAAAGACTTAAAGGTTCAAGTGTACTTTGCCATAATTCAATTCAAGTATTAAATTCTTTGTCTGCTAAGAACACTATCTTGCAAACTTGCCTAATAACTTAACAAAGAATCTGTACTTGTAAAATCTTTAAAACTATGCACACCAAATAGAATCTATACTTAAATTTACATGTAAATGTAAGAAACAAAGAGCACAAAAATATCTCAAAAATGCTCTCAGAAACTAATTTTTACAAGACACATACATAGGCGATATGCATGTTATACATTAGAGTATGTAAAAAATGTACATGACGTGACTTTGATTTACCTGTGCACAATGATTCTTATTCTGTACACAGTATGTCTAGTTGCACATAATGCATTTTCAAACTATTTTTTTTCAATCTGTTCCAGTAAACATACATCTCAACTTTTTACTTTTTAAAATATCATCCCTTTATAGAAAGGACTTTAAATGAAACCTTATATTATAATTCGTGCAGCCAGTATCTTCATTATCTTAATTAATTATGAGGTACCCGACCAGAGTCTAACTACACAGACTTCAAATCTAAGTGAAGGAAGGCAATACAGTAGAATCCCACAAACTCGACTCCCAATATCTCAACATTCTGCATAACTCGACAAATTCTTAGGAACTTTTTTAATATATCCCTAGGCCAAACAGAGCAAATATGACATACGGTACACATAACTATTATTTATGCATATGTCCTTCCTGTTCTCTTCAAAGATCTGAGTGTTCCTTTTCTGTAATTTTTGCCACTTTTGCATTGTGTCATTAATTCTTGGAACTGCCTAACAAATTTCAAGATATGTTGTAATACTTGGCAATGCTGTTTGCTTCTTTCAAGGATATGAAGGAAGTCAGGTAGCAGCTGGCCGCTGGCTCACATTCCTTTCTATTGTTGTAAAATGTTAGGAGACTTGTCTGCATCTTATTGCAAATTAAACTCACACGAGTTCATTGTGGGTATCATTCCTCAGTTCATATCCATGTGTATAAGTGTTAACATATTTTTGATATTTTGTGAAGAAAACTGTCGTTTGAAAAGAAAACAAACTAAAGTGACAATAGAAATAAAACTAAATGCCCAGAGTCGTAGCTAGGGTTTTCAGCGCCCAGAGACAACTGAAGATTTTGCACCCCCTACTGCTTGCCAAGGATGGAAAACGTTTAATTCTAAAATGTCGTAACATCAGTTTGGCGCCCCTTGGATTCTGCGCCCGGGGATAGATGCCCCCTCTAGCTATGCCCCTGTAAATGCCTTAAAGAGACTGGACAATGGAGAAAGTGAAACAAAATCATCATGGATTTAGGTGTTGGATTGATATTTTGATAGGAAGGGAAAAGAAGAAGTCCAAAATCGAGTCTTGGTGTGTGAAAACAGCATGTACAGATAGTTTAAAAGAAAAAAAAAAGTATGAAAGGTGGCGAATACGAAAAAGTGAGTGAGGCTCTTTATTTCAGACTCAGTGAACAGGGAACACCCATTTCAGGACCAATTTTACAAGAGCAAGCCCCAAAATTTTATGATGAATTTCAAGAAGGAGAACCAAGATTTACTGCTAGTGCTGGCTGTCTTGAAAGATGGAAAAAGTGGTACAGCTCCAAGCAGTTAAACGTTTGTGGGAAAAAGCTATCTGCTAACTTGGAAAATGCTGCAATATTCAAGAACAATTTTCACAAACTAACTGAAAAGAAAGGTATATCTGGAAACCAAATTTATAATTGCGATGAGACTGGTCTGAATTTTCAAATACCACCTTCAAAAATGGTGGCATCCACGAAAGAAAAATCAGCACCTAGCTATAAAAGAAACAAGGAGAAAGTCACAATCTTGGCATGCAGCAATGCAACAGGCAGCTATAAGCTCAAACTAGTGCTTGTACACAAATCAAAAAATTCCTGGACATTTAAAAACGTAAATAGGTACATTAATGGGACCAAAAGCAATTATGATCTTTCTATTTGGTACCGGAATCAGTCAAACACATGGATGAATGGAGCAATATTTAATGATTGATTTCATCAGCAGTTTGTTTCATCGGTGGAAAAGTTTTTAAAATCAAAAAACCTACCAAGGAAGGTGATTCTGATTCTAGAAAATGCACCATCCCATCCTGATGCAGAACAGTTACATACATAGGCAATATGCATGTTATACATTAGAGTATGTAAAAAATGTACATGACGTGACTTTGATTTACCTGTGCACAATGATTCTTATTCTGTACACAGTATGTCTAGTTGCACATAATGCATTTTCAAACTATTTTTTTTCAATCTGTTCCAGTAAACATACATCTCAACTTTTTACTTTACTCCGTTTTGAGGACCGTAAAAAATCGCCAAACTATTGTTCATGAAGATATAAGAGCCACGTTTCTCCCTCCTAACGTAACTGTGTCAGCCGATGGACCAGGGTGTTTTGCAGGCATTAAAGGAAAAACACAGATGTAAACTTCTTTCATTTCTTGTCCTAGCCATGGAGTAAGGATGTGATAAGATCGTGAAACTGAAGAAAACACTAGATACATTGGATGTTGTTGGATGGTTACCTCATTCTTGGAGTGAAATTGTGCAGATAGCCTCGTTTGTTCCTAGAGAAAGTTGCAGGACCATTCACAAAATGAATTTCATGAAAGCAGAGGAGACAGAAAATTGTGCAACTAGACATACTGTGTACAGACCAAGAATCATTGTGCACAGGTAAATCAAAGTCACGTCTTGTATATTTTTTACATACTCTAATGTATAACATGCATATCGCCTATGTATGTATCTTGTAAAAATTAGTTTTCTGAAAGCATTTTTGAGATATTTTTGTGCTCTTTGTTTCTTACATTTAAACTTTCTTAACTTTCTTAAGAAAATTCCAGACAGTTACTGATGATGATGTTGAAAAATGAATGGGAAAAGATGAAAATTGTGAAGTTTTAGGACACGCAGAAATAGTTGAACCATCATAGTGAGCTGCAAAAGTGCCTGCGCTTTTGCATCTGAGGATGATAATTCAGGTAAAACCATCAAAACTAGTCCTGTGAAAATTTGAAAATATAAAGCTGATTTTTGTTGTTTGACTTCTAAATACTTGTTCAGCGTGTTATTGTATCTTAATTAATGGGATCATTGTTGGATACTTCAAATGGGTGTAATCCTTTAATTGGTCTTAGCAATTGTCAACTCTACAGATTTCAAATACAGCTGCTTCACGCAGTTTGTCTTCTGGAGGAGGCGCAGTATAGGTTTCGGTACTATTCTGTTTTGAGGACCGTAAAAAATCGCCAAACTATTGTTCATGCTAGTGCTACCAAAAATATTTGCGGCAACCCTAACGCGAGAAAGGAAGTATAATAGTAAATAACTATCTAAGATTATTGCTTTAATTTAGATGAAAGGTTAATTTCATATAATCCATTTTTATTATTATAATTTATATAAAAAAGCTAAACATAATTGAATGGAAGCATAAGAGTAAATAACTATTTCAGATCATTATTATAATTTATATAAAAAAAGGCCAAACATAACTGGATTCTTGCATAGCTATTTCGCGAGTTATCGCTAAAGCATAATTTCATCTCGTTGGTTGTTCAAAACATAATTTTCTATAATGTATTATTTCTATAATGTGTATCTAGTATTTTAATGGCGTCTTAAGAAATATAGAACTATCTAAAGTTACGCAATTTGAAATCAGCGCATACGCTAGATTTGGCGCTCTGTTAAATGGGCGCGTTCGCTAGATTAGGCGCTTTTGCGCATACATTTTCGCTGAAATTTTTTACGGTCTTCAAAACAGAACAATACCTAAGTTTCCATGTTTTTTTTTGTAGAAAATCTATTGATTAATGAGAGATCTCGCAGTTTTACAAGCATTCAGAATCTGAAACCTGTCTTCTAAAATATTGATCAAAATTTGAGTCAGAGTGTGCATTTTTCTCGTGATATCACACTAGTCTCTTGACAAACTCATGATTGGATGGAAGAATAGCTGTCATTTTAAATTCTTCTGTATCCTCACAAAAGGTAAGTTTGGTTTTCAGTCTAAGGACTCCATTTTCATCCTTGAATACTCCTAAAGTTTTTAATTTCTCATACTTTGCATTTACAAAACAGT